AGAGCTGCGACCACGGCTGTGTTATCGCATAGGCAGAGCACACTCTTGTCCGCCCAGTAGGGCCCCCATAGGATTACTGCCATCACTATGGGGGCGAGCTCCTTTGGGGCAATTGAGACTCCACGCCAGTCGTGAGGCCATTCCGCCAGAAACCAGAGGTCCTCATGCAATGCTCCGCAGCCGCAGGAGCCTGATGCATCGGACACTAACGTTAGTGGCACGCCCGTGGGGGGTACAACGCAGATACCATTCCATGTTCTAAGGAACGTGTGCCACCAGGCTAGGGTCGGCCCTTGCTGCACTGTTCAGGTGCACCCAGCGCCCTAGCTCCTTGACCAAGGAGGATGCGTCAATTAGGCCACGCAAGAAAGGCCTGCCCGGGCGAACTACTGTGGCCGCATGAGCAAGTTGGCCAATGAGTGAAAGGAGCTCCCTCTTCTTTCCTGAGGTCCTCGGCCTTGCTGTATCAGACTGCGACATCCACAGCTGGAGTGTGGCCAAGAGTCGAGAGAGTTTCTCTTGGGGTAGACGGATCTCGCCTGCCACAGAATCTATCTCGATACCTAGGTGGAACACGGTCCTTCTGTCTTCTCCGGGGCGACTGAAAAACCAAGCTCTGCGCATAAGCCTAGGGTCGATGAGAGGGCTTGGCTGCAGGTTGGAGAGCCCGGAGGCCCCAGGAGGAGGAAGTCGTCCTGGTAGTGGATTGCATTAACCACTCCTCTGTCGTGTAGCATCCACATCATTGCGTCTGTCAAGGCTTTGGGAGCTGAGCGTAAGCCAAAGGGGAGCACCTTGTCGATGAAGGTGGTGCCTTCCCAAGACAATCCCAGAAACCGCTTGTCTGAGGGGTGGATAGGGACTTCTCTGTACGCCTCCTGGATGTCTACTTTCGCCATCAGGCAACTGTCGCCGGGTTTCTGCATCATACTCACTGCGTCGTCCACCGTTGTGTAAGATACAGAGCAGAGGTCTGCTGGGATGGCGTCATTGACACTCTGGCCTTGGGGCAATGAGAGATCGACGATGAGGCGCCATTTGTTGGGTTTATGCTTCTTAGGAATGGCTCCAAAACGGCTAACCTGCAGGAGTGGTGGGGCAGGCCCCTTTGAGGTAGGGACGACCTGAAGGCGGCCCAGCTCAACCTCCCGTTTGAGGTAATCGGATATCACCTGGGGCTGGTCGTAAGCTGACTTCAGATTGCGGTGCGCTGGTTTCAGCTGTGAGCCATGCCTAAATCCAATCCTAAAACCATTAGCTATGCCCCGCAGCAGGAATTGGGTGAACTGTATGTCAGGGATTGAGAGGAACCTGTGGAGGCAGCCGGGCGTTTCGGAGGAGGAGCGACTGCTGGGTCCCTGCAGGCCGACTTCAGATGGGCCCCATAGCACGAGAGCAGACGTGCACATATGCACACTTCCCAGGAAATTTGCAATTTCCGGCATTCCACGAGTAGCAGATCGGTCGTTGGCGGTTAAGAGAAAGGGGGCGTTTTCCCTTCCAAGGGGGGGGGACGATCTCCGGCCTGGGCTCCGGGTTCAGCCAATTGGCAGCGCGACTGCGGTAGGACAGAGGCCACTGCACAGTCTGCCTCTTGATGGTCGACCTCGTGGCAGCGTCTAGGGTACGTGGAAAGGGGGCTGCACCCGACGGGGTGGCGGACGTGGGACGGGGCGGTAATGCCGGTACTGACCACCTCCTTCACTCCTCGTATACAGCTCTTACGTGACCCCCTCGGTTTGGAGTTTTTTCGTTCATACCCGGTTTTTGCTGTTCTTCGCTTTCCCCAGCCCACCACCATATCCACCTTCGGTCTCTCCCTTTCCTTTGCTCCTCGGGGTGTGGGGGGGGGGGGGGGCACAATTTTGCTTGGTCTTGATTGGCGATGTATACTGCGTGTGCAACGAGGCATCCAGGGAGTTCCACGGGGAAGAGAAGCAGTCTGGTTCCGGCGGAAGACGGAATGGCGTAAGTCAGCCAGCCGTTCCCGCCGAATTTGCTAGCCTCACGCACTATAAGGCGCATATAGGCTAGCATGTCGGCCACTCTTTCTGGGTGCGCCTTGCTCACGATGGCCACGTACGTCACGAAAGACGACACCCAGGTGCTCAGGGCTCTCTCTCCACTAATCTCTCATTCTCCTGTCTTGGGGGGCGAGGCCTGGGGGCAACGCAGCAAGCCTTTCCGCCAAGGCTATGTTGTCTTCCCTCATGTCCACGAATTCTATTGCTTGCGACCTTGACGTAGGGAGGTTTACGAGTTTGCCAGGTGCGGTAGTGCTGGAAGGTGATGTAGCCGGCACGCCGCGACCTGACATTGATGGGAGACTGTATGCTGTGGATGGCACCGTAAGTGAGCTGCTCTATGAGGAAGCCAGCAGGAATAGTGGGATGGATGCCATGGAGGACGGAAGAGTAGCCGCCGCAACGCCTGATGCCGAGCCAGACGAGCCTAGCAGATAGAAGCACTTGGTTTATCTACCACCGGCTCGAAACGGGGGAGGCCGCCCCGCACTACCCGCGGATAAACACCCGCGATATACCACTATAATATTGCCACTGACCTGCTATTGTGGGGCCCGCCAGGCGATTGGCCCTCTGAGGCTTCTGCCACTGCTGCCGAGACCTCTCATTACGTACATTGAACCCATCTGCCTGCTGTGCACATCTCTGTTTGCCCTCCATAAATTTGCATTTTATCTCTGCCTTATGCATCTAGCACAGCCTCTAAGAGTGTCATTAACCCTCGGCGCTCATGCGCAGCGAGGGTTACAGTACTTGGTTTGTCCGTCTGTCCATCTGTCTGTCTGTCCGTCCGTTACCACGTTTTCTGCCACCCACTAAAGGCAGAACTCCCTTGATTTAAAAACCTATGAAACTACAATAAGAGAAAAAGGCAAAACACACAGAAAACACATAAACAAAAAATACAATTAGCACTTAATATACACTAGACTCAACACCAATAGCGACACCTAACAACAGACAACAAAAAGCAAAGCAATACACACACCAAAAACACACACAGGTAAAATGCGACTTACATACGGGGTTCAGCGCTTACACTGCTGATTTTGAAAAATGGCGATTCGTATAAAAGTGCCGACGTTCGATAGTTATGGCATGAAAACCAAGTGTGAACAAGCCAATATGCTAATTAATATGCTAATTAGCACTAGCTTACCTCGACCTGATCCACTTTATATGTGTACCTCGGAGGCACAAGAAATCACAACGAAAGGCGTGTATCGACTCCCGCGTGCTATCTACTACTGTAGCTAGCCAGTGTCAGATTCTCCGCAAGCTACTAGATCACGAGTAAACGCATACTAATAGGCCCAGCCCATCAATTAGCTGTACCGTGCATGCGCAGTTGGCCGAGGGTTTGCACTTTAGTGCTTTTCATTTATTAATGCAAGACTAATTTTGCACCTTGGACAATTTTAAAATGAAATTGTCCATTCTCCAACTTGCCTCCTTCAAAATCAACGGTCACTTCTCTAGCCAATTCTTTCGGTATCACAGAGGCTCTCTTAACCTCAACCGTAACCTTTTGCTTCTTACTGACTTCTTCAAATTCTTCTTCAAATCATCTTCTTTAATAGCAGAAACAACAACGGGTCTTTTCAGAATACTTACTTGTGCGGGACTGGCTGCTTTTGAATTTGGCTTTGAACTTACAGGTGAATTGGGTGCGGTACTAGATTTCTTGTTTTTGTTCTTCCTTGCACTTTTCTTTTCAACCTTAAAGTCTCCATGCTTCGTGTTCTTAAAACTTACTTCAGTTGCACTTTATTTTTTCTTTTCTTCCTATTCAGGTTTCTTGCTTTTCAAAGCCTGTGCAACATTGTCAATTTCATTCACTCTTCCAGCCAATTTCTTGAAGTTCTCTGTTGTTTCTTTGGCTTGTACTTCAATTGCAGCATGAGTTCCTTCTGCCTGCCTATTATTCTGGACTGTGCCAAATCATTTGAATCCCTGAGGCCATCCTTGAGAGTGTCCATTTTCTTTTTATAATCTTTCTTAACACTTTCCATGGTCACCCTGCTGCGAGTACATTCTCTGCACTCCCTACTTTGTGCATCGCTTCTAAAAACAGCACTACAAGTGATATAGGTTACCGGGTATCTGTGTCTTTCACAAAAAGAGCCCTCTGGAGGAATTTCAGTGTAACAAACTTTGCAACTTGACTTTGTCCTAGCCTGGACGAAGTCCTTGAAGGTTTCTGAAAGTTTCCCATTGCCTCTGTTATTGTGTCCAACTTACTTTACTTCTCTTTCAATTAAACTCTGAGTTCTGTCGACATCTTCTAATTCTCCCTAATTTTTTGGGGGCCTGTGAGGGAGCCAATTGCTACAGCACGTCCGCGCAGGCTATCATAGGCAACCATGCTCTTTTGGGGCCATCCGGAGAACTTTAGCGACTCCTGGTCGTATGCTATGAAGGTTGGTAGGCAAACTGCGAAAATGAAACAAGATACTATACAGGGGGTTGGGCTGGCGTAGAGCTCATAAAGCCAGCAAGGATAGCGAAATGCATGCACCCAGGTTATCCTGCCCCCGTACTGTCTCGTTGACAGTGGTGCTATACAACTGTGGAAGCCTGTTCGGACGTCCCGCTACCACAAACGCAAGACATACAATACTGATGCTATTCGCGTGCTCTACAAGAAAAGTAAGAATCCCACAAAGTTCACTTGCAAACTGAGTGACGTAATTGCTGATTCAGCATTTGTTCACCACGTCATATCATACCAAAATGGCTGCCAAAAACGAGCCTTTTTGCAGAGATGAGCCCGTTTTTCCACCATGTCTGGCAGTGAGTTAAAAGTCAAGGCGGTACATCGATAGATTTGTTTGCAATGTTGAGTTTCGAGTCTGGGAGCTTAACTAGCAATAATGGCTGAGAAATCAGCCTAACTTTGAGGGACCTCCAAAACCACTGTTTTTACTAATTATTGTCTACAAACTGAAGGTGAGCGGTGAAATTTTTCTTACCTCTAAGATGCCTGTATGAACTAGGAATGTGTATATGAAGTTTGGGTTCTTAACTCTTACTTTTGTTTAAAAAATCAGCAGGACCTTTCTTTAGATGTTGATACTGTCACATGACTAACACATGATGTCACGGGACCCTTATCAGATTATTCAACAATGATTGAGTATCATTTTGATACTTCATATGAGTGGATTAGTTATAGGACGACTGAGAAATTGGCCAAAGAGTGATAAAGTGACCATTCTACTCTCTTAGCGCTTGGCACTGTATGTCCAGCAGGCCAACAGTGTGCATACTGCAGTATTTTGATATCTTGAATACTGTATATATTATATATATTACATACCTGTATTTTATATGTTTTTAGCTTCTGCCAATGCTTACCTGACACCATGCATCCAAGAGTATGTCAAAGGATTTGTCGGTGGTTTTAAGGACAAGGTGAATGTGAGACAAAATTAATTATTAAAATTAATATTAATAGTAGCTCTCACAACAAATTTATGGGTTTGGTCAGAGGAGCTTAGGTGTGACTTAAAATCTGGGGCATAATTCAATCAGAAAACAGGTGTCTTTGAACCTGCGTGAATGCATCCTCTTGTGCTAAAGTATCCCTGAGTACAATAGTTTTTTTGTGATGGGCAAGGTACCTACAGTACCTCATAAATGTGTATATAATATGGCTATGATAAGGAGTTTTGTTCATCTTCTCATCCTTCATCAGATTCAACACCCATAACTAAAAAACCAAAATTTTGTAAGAATGCAGATGTCAGACACCCGAAGAGACTGGTCATATTTCCTGGTTTGTAAACATCATTTTTTACTGTCAACAACAACAATTTACCCTTCTTGGAAAAATGCGAACACATACCATTTCCTGCATCTATGGAACAGGGTGTTTGCTTGCTTTTATACCTGTAAAATAAGTCGTTTCAGAAAGAATAGCCTTTTTCTTTTTTTAAGATCTGAAGCCATTAGTAACGCTTGTAGGCCACCTCGTATCCTCTAGTGGCAGAATAGCCGCAGAGAAAAACAGACAGACATGCAGGCACACAAACCAAGTACTCTAACCCTCGCTGTGCATGCGTGCCAAGGGTTAACAAAGGTACGTAAGAACAGTGTGGCATCAACAGCATTTTGTGTTGGCTGTAATCACTGACTCACACAATGCCCTCCTGAATTTTCGAGGTGAGGATTTGGACTACGTTGGAATAAATTATGCTGCTAGAGGCAGGAACCCTGTTACGCACATTTTCACACTTACACTTCAGGAATATGTTGTTTAATATTGGCTCTTTTTTACAGAAAAAGCTTCATGTGCTGTTTATGCAGTCTGATGGAGGTCTCACTCCAATGGATAATTTTAATGGCTCGCGAGCAGTTCTCTCTGGGCCAGCTGGAGGAGTCGTAAGGATATTGTAGATGCTTGAATGTGCGCCAGTGTCGTTCAAATGCATATGATAATTGCATCTTACACACCGGGTCCGTAATAAATGCAGGGCTTCAAACTAGCACTCGCCCGCCCGCCAGCGGTGGGTAAATTACGGCGCAGACGGGCGCTAACACCTAAAGCGGTCGCCCGGCTAGCGAGGGACACACTAGAAGTTGTAATAGCGAAGTTAAGTTGTCATAACGTGGTTTAGTTCGGTATGTAGTAGACGTGAGCCAGCGTCTTCGCCGCGGCGAACTGGCGATTGAATACGTGATGCGTGGGGGCGGGGTCTGATCTTCGCGCATGCGTACTATGTAGCTGTTGGGCTGGTAGAATTGAGAGTACTAGCCATATTGGCCAGTTGGGGAAAATGTTAGATTGCACGCCCTGTAAATGTAAAACACATGTGTCCGAACTCTCAGTCCAATAGGCTGGTGGTCTCCTACTAATAGCAAGTGCAAAATCAGGCATGGGCTAGCTGCTAGTAGATAGCATGCAAGAGTCGATACTGCCCCTCGTTGTGACTTCTTGTGCCTCCAAGGTTTGTAGAGCAAGCGGATCAGGTCGAGGTACGAGGTAAGCCAGGTGTCGATTTTTTTCTGGAGAAGAAGTCATAATAATTTTTCACCCACTACCTCAGCAAAGCTTGCTCCAAGGCATGCACTTGCGTGGTAACACATAATATCGGTCGTGTGGACTCCACAGAGTATCATATTCATTGGTTCACACGATCAGCCACATAACATAATTGGAGATGGAAGAAAGTTTTCTATGCAAAGCATCTCGTCTGTGTTGCACTTCTGCAGGTTGGATATGCAATTACAACTCAGGAGCAGTTTTCTAGAAGACCTGTTATTGGTTTTGACATGGGGGGAACATCTACAGATGTGTCTCGTTATGACGGGAAGTATGAGCACGTCTTTGAGTCAACAACAGCTGGTGTTTGCATTCAAGCTCCCCAGGTTGTGTTAGTTTTTCACTTTTTAATCAGTATATGCAGCACTTGAACTTTTTGTAGTTGATAACTTTTTACTTCTGTTTTAGTTGGATATTAACACTGTAGCTGCTGGCGGTGGCTCCATGTTATTCTTCAGATCAGGAATGTTTGTTGTTGGCCCTGAATCGGCTGGAGCTAACCCTGGACCTGCTTGCTATGGGAGAGGTATTATACATTATGTCATCATCCCTAATCATATCGTTAGCCTATGTAAATCAAGGGAAGTACGACAGAATCTTTCATGAATATTTATATTTATGATTCAACACCCAGTCATGTAAGCACTGACTGGTCATAATAGGTCCACAAGTGCTCTATGAAAAACAACATAAAACCAGAATATGAGCAGGTAAAATTACTCATGTGTTACGTAAAACCTCGTATGGACAATGTTTTGCAGGCAAACTATTCCCAAACTTTGTTGTGCCTGATGAGGGGTGTGTAAGCGCGTAAGCGCTGGCACGGTCAGCTTTCTTTACTGGGTTACCTCAGATTAACTATTCCATGCATCTCGCTCCCGGTCTCACGCCCGGTTGATTGTAAAAGAGTACATAGTCAGAAAGAGAAGAAGAAAGGTACATAGGAATGAATGAAGTGTATTTGACTTCACCTGAGCCCTAGAAAAATTGTCGTATTTTATTGGCGAGCCTACCTAGTTCTGTCAATGGGGGAATTTTAATGTGAAAGGCTCTGTCGGGGCACTGCTCATGGCGTAATGTTCTTCGTTATTCTAGGTATGCGCAGAACACTCGCACGCTCGCCGGCCGGCTTCTTTATTAGCAGAGTGGCTGCATATCACACCTCGCTTCGCTATAGGCAACAATAATTGCACTCCTCCTACCGGAGAGCAACCGGATGTGACGTCACGAGAGCAATCAAAATACTTTCGCTTGCATGCAAAAGGTCTATTGCACCAATGTTGAAACTGACCCTGAGAAGCACGGTACTTGCTCTAGCTTCGCAAAATAACGTTCTTGAATAGCATAGGAGCAGTGGACACTCTATGCACGTCCAGCATGATTGTATGGCTAAATCCTTCTGATGACACTAGACTGTCTTTGTCGGGCTTATGCACATCTAGCTCACTAGCTAGCTAAAACACTTGTTCTTTGACTTAAAGCTTCAAAAACCATTTTTGTCCATCACCTGGGTAGCATGCACCATAGGATTATCCTTGTAAATTTGTGTGTAGTATTAGAAACTATTGTGCATCTCGAAGTTCAAACAAACACATGAATCCAGTTGGATGTGGACAGACACATGGTGTCTGAAGATTAAAATGATGAGCTCAATTAGTTTACACATTGTGTGCAGTTGCAGTGATGCTTTATGGAATGTAATCTATTTTTAAGGTGGACCAATTACTGTCACAGATGCCAACCTAATCTTGGGAAGACTGCTACCAAAGTAAGTTTTCGGTACTAAACCAGTGTGTTTAGCTATAAAGCCTTTCTGCTATTACATAGGTACTTTCCAAGAGTATTCGGTGAAACTGATGATGAACCATTACAAACATCTGCAGCAATGACTGGATTTAAAGCTCTCACACATGAGGTTATGGTCTTTTTAGTAATTTTGTTATGAATTGAAAAAAGGAATAGGCTATAAATGTGCAAGTCAAAATCCCCAGCACATAGCATACCGTACAACCGGCACTTAGTTGAAACTGGCTGTTGGACTTTGTCTTGGTCTATGTTGGTGTTTTGTGTATTTTGTAGTCAAACAACCCAGTGCTAGGAATTTATATATGGTGTATTCTGAGCTGTGGGCTTAGGGCTGACCAACATCATAATGGACAGGAATCCTTATCACAATATCTAGGCTTGGGTAGTGCAAATTCTCTGGCTTCCCAAGTTTACACAACAATCATTAGTAAATTAGTATAATACACAGCAGCATTGTGATTGGCTAGTTGGACTACAAATCAGTGAAATTCAGGCGTCTCGGAGAGCGTACAGGATATCCTCCTCGGCTGTTGACTATGCCAGCCTCGGAGTATATCGTGTACTGCCTCACCGCCTTTATGTTAAGTAATACTTAACTCACGGTCAAGACATTGCATACATATGCTAAATACCTGTTTCGGAAGTGCACTCACTCAACTATACACGAAATTAAGCAGCTCTATTATAATACAGCAAATTTCATCAGGTGTCTTCAATGACAACCCCGTCATTTCAATTACTATTCCCTTACTTTAGACTGCATGTAAATTGATTGACTTGTCTTGTAAATTCAGATAAACCATTTTATGATGGGCGCCAGTCCCTCATTTAAGGAGATGACGGTACAAGAAGTTGCCATGGGTTTCATTGAAGTTGCCAATGAGGCGATGTGTAGGCCAATAAGAGCTATGACACAGGTATATATAGTATAGTTGTACCTTTGATTGCCAATGTAATTCTGTAATTCTGACATATATATATATATATATATATATATAAGCACATCCCGTGTAAAAAAAGGTTCGCGCAAACTCCGGTACATGCGTGTGGTTGCCTATTGCTACTACGCATGAAGGTGGGCGTGTCGTTACGCGGCTATTTGGGATAAAGCAGTGCTATTTCTACGTACTATTCACCACATACATGTGCGTGTCATTACACAGTTATGCGCGAACAAGTGGCTACTAAAAGCCTGCGCGAAATATAGCATGGGTACGGGTTAAACCGGCGATTGCACTTTCGCTCACGTCACTACGCCCAGGGCTAAAACCCACGTGTTTCGGCGTGGCTACCCGCTCGAGAATGCAAAAGTGTGATTTTTGTGGCTACCCGCGAATGTTGCCGAGTTCACTCGCATTATTTTATATAGGATCTTATTGAAATGTACATGATATTTATATTTTAGAGCAACTTTTTTAGCCACGTAGAACGGATAATTGACTGCAAAGTCCATGAAATCAACGTTCATTACAAGCTCGGGGACCTAACTGCTTCAATCTTTACTGTAAGATGTAGTACGTATTTCACATGTTATGTTTGTACACCACAATATGTTAACTTGGGGGTGTAATTTTTTTTTTTTTGCTTATAGGGTAAAGGTCATGACATTTTTCAACATATCTTGGCATGCTTTGGTGGTGCTGGTGGCCAGCATGCTTGTGCAGTTGCAAGAGCACTGGGAATTACCAAAATATATATTCATCGGTAAGCATACAGTATTTTAAATGATTGTAGCCTAGCGCCTGCTGTTTCTCCAAGGCAAACGCTAACATTGCGAAGTTCGTTCAAAGGGGAGGTGGCTCTCAATCATACCGTGCATTTGGTCGTGACATTACCAGTGCTGCCTGACGTCAGCTTCAAAGGTCCCGAATCAGCCGCCGACGCGCATGCACACTTGCTCTCTATTCATGTAGATTAAAATCTGATGTTACAATTTGAAGGCTGAACATCACCGATATGCAAGATGGCCGTAAAAAAACAGAACAGGGCTCTGCATGTGGAAACTGCGAACGATAGGCTACAGCTAAGATTACGCACAGAAGCTATGATATATTGGCTTGTCGAAATCTGGGAGCTTAAATCCCAGAGACTTGGATTTTCCGTGCCTAACGCATAGGGACCTCGAAAATCACCGTTTTAGTCTCTTGTGCTCTGTGGTACTGCTGCACAGGTTTCAGATTTTACCTACCAATTTTTGGGAAATCCTGCTCCTAAAGAATGTCTCCAAACCTTTTCAACTCATTACTGTCACGCGAGGGCCATGTGACACGTTATCACTGTGATCAAATTAATCATCAAAAATTGGGGCACATTTTCATATGTCATAGTTGGACTGATGTTCAGCATGGCCCAGTAAATTGATCTGGAGTGAAAAAGTACACTTTCTAGTGTCTTAGCCTGTACGTAGCATTTAAGGACAGTTGCAATTGGATGTTTTAGCAGTGTTGCTTTGGGTCTGAGTGAAGGGGTGAAACCTTGATACATTTTCTTTGATGTGTTCACCATGTATGTTATAATTTGATTGTCAGATACTCGGGAATTCTCTCCGCTTATGGCTTGGCACTGGCTGATGTTGTCCAAGAAATGCAAGAACCTTGTGCTAAAGTCTATTGTGGTGAGCGCACAGAGTTTGTTTGTTAGTACTGGTCATGTGACCTTCTGCCAATTCCATTTTGTCACATGCACACTGCTTCATGCACTCGAAAGTGTGCATAACTGGTTTAAGCACTTAAAAGTGTTAATGCCCACTTTTTCCACTTAATGCACACTTCACATGCAGCTCTAAAATGTTTAGCCTCATTCGCAGGCCCTTTAAACGGCCTGGCACAATCTGTTCGCACATCTGAAAGATGTTCCATAAAATGTCCGTAAAATATCCCGTTTTCTCATAGGATATATTAACGTTTACAAAGCCTATTGTTGAGCTAAAACATAGCAAATGTACAGAGTAAGGTGTGCCCCCGTGTGTAGCATGGTTACCTTGTCACAGAAGGCTGTGTAGATCAATCTGCCTCAACTTTACTGTACACAGAACCCTTCTCTAGAGGCCTGCAGTTGTTCTACGTAGATCTGTTCTGATGCATATAAGAGCTTCTACAGCGCCCAGAAACACTGTATTGATTGTTTTTCAACCGCTATTAGCGCACTGGTAGGCGGCTAAAGGTGACATATATGAACGTTCTGGGAAAAACGGACAATATCAGGGTTCTCCCTAGACATAAACCAATGAGCAGAGAAAGCACCTATAGCTCATGCTACAAATAGAAAATTACCATAAAATTTTTTTATCAATCATATTAATAAAGTATATGACAACGTTGCTATAGAATTAGGCGTCTATGTCCTTGTTCCTTCCAGGAGTTTATAACTTTCTCAAAATCAAATTCCAGTATAGGAGGACCTTCAATGGGGATTCTCAAACAGTGGTTAAGGGTGGATTTTTCATTTGATTTAGTCTTAGTCTTCACCCCGGCCATGGCACTAAATCCTCGTTCACAGTCAGCTGTACTGACTGGAATGATAAGGAAGATCTGCGCTAGCTTGGATAATTGAGGATACTTCTGACGCATTGTAGAATTGGTTGCTAGTTAACCCTCGGCGCACATGCGCAGCGAGGGTTACTGTAGTCGTTCTGTGTGTGTGTCTGTCTGTCTGTCTGTCTGTCTGTCTGTTATCTCCATCTCACTTCTCGGGTGTCTGTTCGTCTCACAAATGATACGACCTACTTAACAGGCAATGAAGGTCAGAAATTTCGAACGGTTTTCTCTGAAAATGCCCCGTTGCAAAGCTTGAGCGCTTCCAACATTGTACGGCTCATGTAGGTAGTCGCCATTTTATCGCTGCGGAAAATGCACATGCGCTTATATTTATCACAGGCTTACCTCCACCGGGTCCGCTTGCGTCACAATGAAGGGTGTGTATCGACTCTCGCATGCTATCTACTACTGTAGCTAGCCCGTGTCAGACTACTAGCGGGAGACCACGAGTAAACGCACACTGAAGCCCAGCCCATCAATTAGAGGTATCGCGCATACGCAGTTCACCGAGGGTGGTTTGCACTGTATAGTGCTTTTCATTTTGACAGCACTGCTTGCATAGACACAACATTGTATTATGTATGTCCTGAAGTTTGTCCAGTCCATCCTCAGAGCAAGGGGGTGAAGAGAATCAAAATGTTTGCTAAGAATGTCAACCTTGTCATTGCCAGAGTAAGATTCAATTGCTTCGTCAAGGAACGTGGTAGCTTGCTTGGATCAAACAGTGTGAAGGCTTCAAGCAACTCAACATCAGGAAATTGCTGTTCAATGTTTTCGCACAGTTTTTTTATGGAAGGCCCTTGAATCTCACGCTCAAATCTCTTTTTGTCTCCAGGCAAAGGAGGAGAGACATAGCATTTCAGTGTTCCATCAACTGTATCCAGTTGTTTATCTAATGTAGCCAGATAGCCATCTGGTATGAGTGCAACAAGCACAAGGTAGTATTGGCAGCTTTACCTAACTCAGCACGATGTATACTTTTCCTTCGAATAAGTCGTTAAAGGAAACAGACATGAGGTAAGACATCGCAGAGAAGAAAGGGTGAGCTATGCACTTGTAGTTTGCCATCTGTCGATACAAGCCATCTGCCATTGGCTCGCCTCTCTCTGAAGCCTCACGCTGCAGACTGAAAAAAACATATGGTCATAACTGGGCATGGGTTATCCTCCTCCCACGCACTCTTGTAGCCAATAGCATGTTTGTCTGTAGCACTGGAACCAGCACCAGCAGCGGGCCAGGCAGATTCTTTTGGCCATTGTCATTCACTACGCATGCGCAATTACATAGAAGGATGTGGTGAGGGTGCATTAATTAGAATAGCCCAGAAAAGTAGCGTGGCGGCGGGGAGAACCCTGCACATCTTGAACCACCTCTCTCCCCTCATCAACCACATCAGTGCAGTACAAAGCATTCGGACACTGTCTGGCCAGGTGACCTCTCTGGTGGCCCTCCTGTCTCGCATGTTCTGGTCTGTCTTGGTAGTAGAGTTAGTATCATCAATCCTGGTCCCTGATTGTGTACTTCCCTTGGACTCTAAGGCACCTTCTAGCTGTGTCTGCCCTTGGCTGGAGTTCTTGAAATTCCTCGCGACATCCCCCTCCTGGCCGCAGGTGTAGCATCTCCTAACTGGACTGTTGTCTTGGCCCCCTTTTGCCACAGGAGGTTTGGGTTTCGTGGCCAGCACGTAGTCGTCTGCCATTCTGCCGGCCTCAAGGCCGGTGGTGGGCTTCTTCTCGCTTAACCATACCCTGAGTTCTGCCGGTACTGTGTCGAGTAGCTGTTCAATAATGAGTTTCTCAGTCATGTCTGCCACACTGTCGCAGTCGGCAGTCCACTTACGAAAGAGGTCTGCCAGCCGGGTCACAAACCTCGTTGTCTCTCCTCCTTGCAGACCGGAATCTCTGATGATACGTCTCTTCGTTCACGTCATAACACCGTCTTGGCCTAGGAACTGGCTTCTGTTGCTGACATTGCTGCATATGCTTGCTGAGAGTGTCAGGATAATCTTGTCTTTCTGCTGTGTAGACGTCGCGTCGGGTTTTGTGCGTTGAGTTGCGGAGCGAGTTTCAGCACCCACCGCGTAGAGGGTCATGAGTCACTCGAACGTAGTTAGAAATGCCTCTACATCCTCGTTCTCCCCCATGTTGGTGAGGATAATCTCATCTCTCTGCTGTGCAGACGTCGCGTCGCGTTTTGCCATAGTCCGCTCCACCAGGGCCTTCAGGACGCCCAGCTGCTCTGTCATCCTCTTCTCCTGCTCGCGACTCTCTCTTTTTCTCCTGCCGCGCCCTTTCCTTAGCTAGCTCATCATTCCGTCTGCGTCGGTCTTAAAGGAGTAGCTCCAGGAGTTCAGCCACCCCTACGTCGCCTCGGCCTTCCGCGTCGCTCGTCTCCACGCCGCCAGCTTCACTATCACCTGTGGACATAGCGGGCGTGTCTTTTCTCCGGTACGCCTTCCCCGATCTTGTTGTCATCCACTGTCAGTAGGCCTTGCCGCAGTCATCGGCAGAGTATCCCACCGCTGCCACCAAATGTGACGCTCTCCCAGCCCCACCCAACTTGGCCTTTGAGCGCTCACGAAATCTTATATGCCGATAGGTGCCCAACGCACGGACCCACACCACACAGACTGATAAAAAGAATCAAGAAGTGGCACGCACACACGTGCCACTTCTTCCCGGTTCTGTAGTCATGAGGTGTCGGTAGAGACAGTGAGCAGCTGCCTTGTGTCGATAGGCCGTGAATTATCAGTCTGTGTGGTGTGGGTCCGCGCGTGGCAGAGGTGGGATACTCTACACAACCAAACATATCGATATAACCTTACACGCATGGGCAGTATGCAATAAACGGTAATATTCTAGAACCTACACTAGTACAGCACAGCATACAGGTTAATGCACAGTAATTCAGGTACAGCAAACCATACAGGTTACACAGAGAACATACACTTATGCACACCCAAGCATACGTACATAGAAAATACATAGCAGCATATTCGGAATAGACTAGGTACCTGTTGATAGCTTTCTGTCCAAAATCCGACCATTGGGTAGTCAATCTGGGATTAAACACACTGTCCCCGTCGGAAGGATCTGTACCTTCCAAGGGTTTATTACACAGGGCGCTCCCTGTGTTTAAGAGTTGTTGACACCCGGTTCATGTTGATTGTGCTGGTGATATTGGTATAAGTAATGGTGTCCATAAAACATTGTACGTGCATTAGAAGCGCAAGGGCCCTTGCATTGTGGTATTCCGTGAGCAGCAAGGACACTACGTGAAAAGGCCACCAAGGGTGTCTAAAGCATGTAGTTTTCGATGGACAGGATACCTTAACTAATTCACTATGCAGTCCAATTGGAAAGTGGAAAGAACGACACCCCGATTTTTATGCGCACGAATGTAGTGTTCTCCCCAGGCCGTTTTGGCTTAGCGCTTCACTATGCGTTATCCACGAAAGGAATTTAGGCCGCTAAGTGTTCGCGCGGCAGGTTTTACGTGTGCACATGTGCGCAAATCCTTAGCCACACCCATTTCACGTTTTGGTTTTGGCTCGACGCACGCGGCATAGCGAAGCCGCCTGCAGGTAGGTGGCGCTACTTGTGAGCCCGTGCGTGAAAAACAGGTATTGATCCTAGATGGGCTAGTAATTTTCCTTGGATAGTCATAGTTAATAGTGAAGGGGAGGCACGCGTGGCACGCGGCAGCGGCAACGTTGGATCGGCGCGGCGGGGACAGTGTTAAATAATAGCCAGCGGTGCCACCTCGACACATTTACACTTGAAGTTTAGCTACCTGGAGATACCCAATCAAGCTTGTATGTACTTGACTATGTAGGCCTGGCAGTAGGCCATATTATTTGCCAGAAACACTCCCAGACCCCCCCTAGGGGGCGTGCTTCATCACTCTCCTGTTGCCCTGATAAATCAAACATTGCTTGCTCCCCATAAGCCTTACAATTATCCTGGGGAGAACACTGGACTCACTGTGTGTGCGTAACTGGTTGAGTCACGTGCAATGGTGTACTTTGACCCCTGTGACCTCTGCACCGCTTTTCCGCGTGTGGAAGGAACCATCGACGACCAGGCTGACTGCATCAGATTCTGACTGTCGGACCATTTGTGATCGCAACGGAATATGAAGTGCTCTGATGATATTACAAAGACAGTTAAACTGGGTATTGTGCAGCGATCTCGCGGATGATTCTGATCCAGGCCTCGCCTACAGTTTTACCATAGTGTTCTCGCTCATCTAGGTAGCTGGGCAACTGTCCAGCGTGGCACCCTTTCATCTGCTTGAGCTTCGTTTTGACTCGGTTCCAGTAACTTTCCACATGTTGTGTGTGGACCCCAGTCACAGGGTCCACAAAATTGAGGGAATTGTTGACCACATTATGTGCAGCTACATTGCCAAGCCCTTGCACACGTCGGTCTGCAGCCTAGTCGTCAGAGTGCAAAATGGAACCCGGGGCCGTGTGTGCTTGGATGATGGGAAGCAAGGTAGCAACATCATGACGTTGTACTACTTGCATGTACCAAAGTGCAGGCTGGTGTGATGTATCGACAATGCCGAATACCCACACTTCTGCATTTGTCGCCCTTCTACAGTGATGCTGCAATGTGAGTATTACATTTACAACTATAGTGTACGATAACATTGGCTACCTTCGGCTTGTGACAAAAGAGAGATTCGTCAACTTGCACAATAACACCCTGCCCTCCCACCACAATGGGAGGATCTCTCAACAGCCGTGTGGTGCACACTTCACGCAGCCACTGGTAGATGTCAATCGCGCTGCGTTTATCTACTTCAGCCTCATCCATGCAGTCAGTGACAGGATGCTGCTTTTGCCCACCAATAGATAATGATCATCCACTTTGTGAGAAGGAGGCCAGACTTGGAGAAGAAACTTGAGTCCCTGATCGACTTCGTTGTTTTGCATGTTGGGAAAACCAAGAGACTCCATCCAATATATCTTTCCGTTTTCGTTCTCGCATTGCTGTGTTGCAACGCATGCAGCACTTCAGTATTGACTTGCCTGGTGCAAATTTTGTTTACTGCAAGCAGTCTGTGGTGCCTCAGGAAAGAAATAATCACATTTTGCTGCCAAATATGATTGGTCCAGTCTGAATCAACGACAAAACTTCCCAGTTCCCGCTAAAATTTTCCCGCCAGAGCTTACTACACATGCGCAATCTATGCACATTTAGGTAAACAACGTGCTTGTAAACAAAAACATCCAACGTAAATTTAATACGGAATACTTCAGCAACTTGTCTATGTTCCGTCAACTTTTCCATCTGTTATTGTTGTCTATGTTCAGTCAACTCGTCCATCTGTTACGACAAATGAATACTCTGCATATTCCTCCTGCACGGTCAATTTTGCTAACCGTCGTTTCTGCGGTCATGGGCAGAGTGATAATACCTCAGGATCCACACACCGTCTAATCCATGGAATGTACGGTTCGTTAATGCAGGTCTAGTGGGTAAGCTACGTTGCTGCGATCGCAAATGGTCCGACAGTCAGAATCTGATGCAGTCAGCCTGGTCGTTGACGGTTCCTTCCACATGCGGAAAAACGGTGCAGAGGTCACAGGGGTCAAAGTACACCGTTGCACATGACTCAACCAATTACGCCCACGCAGTCGCGCACATAAAAAATCGGGGTGTCGTTCTTTCCACTTGATCTGTCCAATTAACTCAAACTTGTTTTTTCACGTGCGCAAGTTGCGCAGGGAAACAGTGCCGTGTGTACTTAGTAGCACAATGTGAGATAAATTGTAGTAAGCTCATTTTTACGTGTGCTAAGGATTGCTTAGAAATACTCCCAGCAGCATCATTCCAGAGGGTAATGCAACTATCTGTCGGCTCTAACACAGCCACATTATTGATACCCTTCCAATATATAATATATATATATACGTTAAATTTTGCTGCTTTCACCAACTGTGAGGACAAGATGAAAACTCTGCTCTCGGAAACTTCTACTTTCAAGAGTTTTAAGCAAGAAACCAAGACACACATTTCCACAGAAAATGAACATCATGCTCCTTTACCTAGACAAGAAGGGTTATTAAAGAGCTGAAACATATGTAAAATTCAGTCTGATGTTGCATTCATGTATAGTCTAAGAAAGGTCACAAGGATACAGGCCCTCTAGCTCAAGCTACACTTCTCTGGCATACCAACAACCAACTATCTCTCCAGTGATTTGCCTGTCATGGCCCACAGATGTCAGCTTGAAAGTATTCATCGAGGGTAAAACCTTGGTGCCTTTTATTGTTTTAGTCTTGTTTCACGTGATTTTCCTGTTGACTAAGCCTCTTGTTGACCTTACTCTGGAAATTGTCCGACAGTGACTGAAACTCTCTAGGAGTAATTGTCTATCTGCAACGTCAAGCAAGCTAATATTTACAGCTGCATGTACCCTGGAGCAAGTGCTATATTTTGGCCTAAGCCCACGGAATCACTATTTCTTCAAATTGCGTACTCAAATTTAAGAAGTTGTTGTTCTATAACAAAACAGGTAATAGACCTGCAATGTTTACAGAAAGGTCAGTTTAGCTGGTGACTGCAACAACCCTAAAAATTATCATGGCAACATTCTGGGTTTTCGAGTACACAGTCATTATACGTATAACAATCATCAATTGAAAATTGAAATATTTGTGTACCTCATTATAATCTATTCTTTTTTTAGAGGAGAACATGCAGTACTTTGATGAAAAGATACAAGAGCTAATCCACAAATGTGTTCAAAGATTGAAAAAACAAGGATTTCAACAGTAAGCACTATAGGGTGGGGATACCACAAAGGCTGAAGGGCTTCGCGTGCAGACTGACCAATTATATCATTTTGCAACATTTCGATCCCTGAGGGATCTTCTTCAGGCAAGTGAATACACAAGCAGATGCTGCCGACGTATAATTCGTTTATTGTCAGGTGACATATGTCTTGTACCAGGCAGATGGGGGTGTCCACGATTGTGTTCTGTGGGTGCCTACTCGTCTAGGTTCAGCCCCTCAGGAGACACAGTTGTCAATGTAAAAATCCAAAAGATTTCTCTTTCTTTCTTCCGTAGAGTACCTCCAAGGTGGATCTTCTCTATACCCCTGACTTATACATCTTTTGTGTGGTGGTCTGGTTGGCAGAAATGGGCTGCATACATAGAGCATGAGAATTGAAAGAACATTTACTATCTCGAGGTTACAAGGAATCTATGATTGACCTACAGATCCAGAGAGCAGTAGTAGTCCCTCGTCATGTGGCACTTCAATGCCACACTCGTAGCAGACCGGACAGAACCCCCCTAGTCATTACCTACCATCCTTCACTAAACAACCTACCAACAGTGTTGACGAAACACTTTCCTATCCTCCAAGAAGAGACTCAGAAAAGCCCCCATCCCTCCTCGCTGGCAACTCCGGACCAAAAAAACTGATAAACCAGTAGCAGCCCATTTCTGCCAACCAGACCACCACGCAAAAGATGTAGAAGTCAGGGGCATAGATAAGATACACCATGGAGGTACTCTATGAAAGAGAAAGCTTTTTGGTTTTTACATTGAGAACTCTGTCTCCTGAGGGACTGAACCTAGACAAGTAGGCACCCACAGAACACCATCGTGGACAGCCCCCATCTGCCTGGTATATACAAGACATATGTCACCTGACAATAAACATGTTAGAATAAATCATACGTCGGCAGCATCTGATCTGCCTGGTATATACAAGACATATGTCACCTGACAATAAACATGTTAGAATAAATCATACGTCGGCAGCATCTGCTTGTGTATTCACTTGCATGAAGAAGATCCCTCAGGGATCGAAACGTTACAAGATGATATTAATGTTTAGTCAGTCTGCACGCGAAGCCCTTCACCCTTTGCGGTAGCATCAGCGTATAATGGACCCGTACGGGCTTCGGCTGGACAGTTCGGTTGTTATGAGACCAGACTAAAAGATGATGAAAGTGCAAACCCTCGGCGAACTGCGCATGCGTGATACTGGGCTGGGCTATTTTTATGTGTTTACTCGTGGTATCCCGCTAGTAGCTCGCGGAGAGTCGAACACGGGCTAGCTACAGTAGTAGATAGCATGCGAGAGTCGATACACGCCCTTCGTTGTGACTTCTTGTGCCTTCAAGACACACAGAGCAAGCGGACGTGGTCGAGGCAAGCCTGTGCTAATTTGCATATTGGCTTGTTCACTTGCCTTAATTTTTGAGTTATGTCAAAATCGCATTTTTAAAAAATGAGTCCAGTGTAGAGATGAACCTGTTCGTGTCGCTATTTTGTTGTCTCGTTGCGCGTAGTCGCAGAAAACGTGGTAACAGACAAACGGACAAACACACTCACACACACAATCACGAACCAAGTAGCGTAACCCTCACTGCGCATGTGCGCCGAGGGTTAATAAATATAAGTTATGTACTAGAGTAGGCCACCGATGATCTGACTACATATATCTTCGGACGCTCTCCTGAACCTTTAGCAATGAGATTTCAATTAATCTAACATGCAATCGATACTACACGAAAAGTATTACCAGCTTGCAAAACAAGAATGTCCCGCGATGTACACTCGACGTGTTACGAAGCGCCAAAAATCGTATTGGGACACAGGTATATTCGGATTTGGGAATCAAATGCCGGACCTCAGGAGAACAGAGTCAACGTCCGTGGGAAGGTACCGCACCGTGAAGGCTAGGTCCGCACTTGCACGCACGACCCGTCCTGGAAAGAATCCCAAGGGTTAAAAGGTGCCGCGCATGCGCAATACGGCAGAGCCGCTCAGACACATGGCAGCAAGACGACCAGGCTTCACAGAGGTAAAATCCTAGCAAATCAACGCCAATAAGCGGCTCAGAGCGGGAAACAAAGCAGTTTGATAAGTTTTCTTCCGAAAACTGTTGGGATCTATTGCACATGGTGGACCACCCCAGTCTCTTACATTGCCCATCCCACCGACGAGGGAAGGGAGTTCCAAAGATCAGTCCTAACGCAGAATTCCGTATTTTTTTAACAGCTTATGCATGCAAAGCCCCTGGCTCCCCTGGACTGACGAGCAGTTTCACCCCGTATTCGGCGATACTAGATACACATGTGCCGACACAGTGTAATGTGAGGGCCAAGACAATCCCTTAAACCTCTAGTAACGGTTTTAAAGCTGAGTAATGCACATCAGCAAAGTTCTGAAATCCCGACAAGAATGAGTGAATAATGCAGAACAAGAATGAGTGCATAATGAAGGGACAAAAGGGACAAAAATGAGTGAATAATGAAGCACACAAGGAGGGCAAAACATTTGCATAACAACAGAAAAAAGTTTCTCAGAATACTCCACTACAAACAGGAGGAGCACACAAAATGATAGTCATCCAACTTGGCCACACTTGGTCTAACTCTAACACAACAGCAGTGATACCAGCTCCCACACAATTCACAGCAAACCCACACATAATATGCATTCTTGTGGTGGCACTCTCTCCCAATGAACAGAGAGATGTTGAAGAACCAACTACAGAGAGTTGTATCAAAACCATAACATACAGAAAGTATAGTGTGTACCTGCTAACTCAGAACCACATGAATTTGTCAGGCTTCCACCCTTTACCGCCTTTCCTGTAAAACAACAAAAATTTGACTAAACAACATAATACTATGATAATTTAAACCAGAGACAAAAAAATAACTGCTTCAACCCTACACTTTACCCACACACATAACTAGAAACAAAAAGGCACAACACTCACCTTCCAATTGGCCGTCTCGCTGGGCTCTGCCTGCCTCTTCCCCTACACAATTCCAAAACACAATTAAATCCCAGTCCAATATGGCACCATATTCACCGTCTGTCTCGCCAAGTTCCACCGACTGTCTCTGTAAGCTCCGCCG